TAAGATATTTAGCATGAAACATGTTCTAATGGGTGTCTACCAAGTATGTTCAAAAAAAGCCCTGGGTCAAAAACTGGCCCCGCCCGGGGGGTCATTGTTTTCCTTATATGTGTCTTATAGCAAAAACTTAAAAAATCTTCTTTGGAAAAAACCCAAATAGCTAGAGTTTAGATATTAAACATGAAACATCTTTAAGTAAATATCTACAAAGTTTGTTCAAATAAACCCGGGGGTCAAAACTTGGCCCTGCCCCAGGGTATCATTGTTTTTAACTATATGTGTATAGTAAAAACTTTAAAAATCTTCTTTTTTAAAAAAACCCAATGAGCTAGAACTTAGATGTTTAGCATGAAACATCTTCTTATGGGTGTCTACCAAGTCTGTTCAAATAAACAAATAAAAGCCCTTGGGTAAAAATTGGCCTGGGGGTGGGGGGCCTATATACAGGTGAGCGACCTCAGGGCCATCATGGCCCTCTTGTTTTTTTGTTTTTTTTAATTTGATATCTGTAAAGATCAGATTTATGTTTTTTAAGACATAAATAAAAGGTATACAAATATATGTTAAAATTAAATACCCCCTTTTAATGTTAACTTCTACTAGAGTATTAAATTTTTGGCTGCATTATGGCTAGGAAACATTTTTTAAAATCATGGTTAAATTATTATTTAAAAAAAACAAATCCTAGGAAAATAACATTTTCTTCCCATTACGATGACTCGTAAATTAAAAACTTTGTTTGTGATTTAAAATTTTCATGAAATCTTAAAATCTTAAATTTTAATGTCTATACATGAGTAATACTTATTATGTAGATTTGAATATTCAGTGATCAGTCAACTAGAATATATTTGCAAATATAGTAATGTATAATGTATTAGTGATATAGATTTAAACGAGGCCTCTGAAGTCAAGTGCAGGCATCAGAATGTTGATTGTCTTTAGTTAAAGCTTTGAACTGAGGGAGTTTGGGTTTAAGTCCAGAAGAAATCAGTCCGAATCATTACTTTATCCTCTGATGACCATTACTGGTAGTACACCAGGACTGGTCAGTTCTATGATAATATTGAAAAGCATAAAGTAATTTAAGAGCCTGGTCAGACGCCAGGGACGTGTACATTATGGCATAGGTTTGTTGTTATCATAGCTGTCATTTAAATTTTGTTTTTTTTTTGGTTTTTTTTGCGTTTATTTAAGGTCGCCGCCGGAAAGCCCATATGGGCGACCGTACACTCAAGTCGAGTCATCCTAGAGCGTCTCGCCGAGATTATTCATCGATTTTTTTCCAGCTTTATTGGTGGAGGAAGACCCCAGGTGCCCCTCCGGGCATTATTTCAGGCACGAGCGGGCACCTGGGTAGAACCACCGACCTTCCGTAAGCCAGCTGGATTTTGGGTTCGTTAAGTGCACATATGTTATGAATATTAATGAAGTTTGGAAGATAATTGTCTATATGCCTTCCTTTTTAGCTCGACTATTCAATAAGAATAAGTAGAGCTATTGTAGTCATCCGAGCGTCGGCGTTGGTGTCGGCGTCTGCGTAACCACATATGTTAAAGTTTTTGTAATACCTCAAATATTCAACTTAGAATTTACATTTAGGTTTGCACACCACCTCAGATATTTTCATATTCTATTGAAACAAGTTGAAATTTTATACTCTTCTTTGAGAGCACAATAGGTCACTCTCTCCAAGGCCTATAACTGTAACATGGATTTAAAGAAAACATTTGTCCTTTTGTTATTTACTCAGAAAATTTTACATTATCAAGGCTCTTTTACTATCAAGCACTAAGAATATTCGAGCGTTGCTGTCCTACCGACAGCTCTTGTTAAACGTACCTCCAACTTATTATATTATAATTGATTTACTGTGAAAATATTTTTACTCAATGTAAAATAGATAAACATAATAATAATAAATGAATTAGATAATAATAAGAAATAATAATCCAGGGTTGACCACAAGACTGCTGTAAGTGCTATTTTACTTCATAATGAGTTACTGAAGTTTTGCGGTAAACCCTCAATATTGTATATGAATTTAGTAACAGTGTGATTAAGGGAAACAAACAAACAAAGTATTCGTGCATCTAATACAACTAGAAATCTAGTATCATTGAATATTGTTGATTGCTTAGTGGTTGGAGGGGTGGGGGTAAGTTTCCTTATTATGCATAATTATAGAAACATATAGACATATAAACATATAGGGAGAAAAATACAAGGCTTTCATGTCCCTCATAGGTAAAAAGGTCAGTCAAATGGGATGGGATTATCCATATGGCACCATTCAATTTCAACCTGACCATGGCAGTTTGGGAGATACAAGGGTTTTTGGAGGGGTGGGGGTGTTGACAGAGGGAAGTAAAATGAGCATTGAAAAATACTTCTGCCATTTTTTTGTTTGATTTTACTCCAATTTTAACATACATAATTTTTTGACATATTTCATTTATTGGGTGTTTGCTTTTTTTTGGACTCCAAAAACGGCTTTGACCAAGCAGGGACTGTCAGAAGGTTAAAGCATTGCTAACTTCCCCTACATTCTCCCACATACAATGACTGACTAGAACATTTTTATACAAACAAAATCTCAGAGGTCACTGGTTCAATTCTTAGGGGAGGCGGGGCAAAATTTCTATGACAATTAATTTTCAGACATTGAGTCTCATTTTCTGTCACAGCTGGTGGATCACTTACGGAGAAATTTGTAATAACTTGTACATGTAAGTTATTTTTGAGAGCAAATTAGGTGATGTTATTAAAATATGTTGAAGTTGGGGTATTAAAACCAACTCAACAAACAAATAACATAACTATGACCAATGTGATGTAAATAAATGTGAAATGCCACAAAGTTTGAGATATTTTACTATTGAATAAACTGATAATAAATGTTGAATTAAAGTGTCATGTTAGAAACGATTTTAATGCTTAGTAAAATAAGACATACTGTTATCTAATGTTTTATTCAAAAAATAAAAAATAACAAAAAAAAGTGAACATTTTGGAGGAGAAAAAATTGAGTAATATTAAGAGGATATTCAAGTTTTTTCTATAAATACATGATTTATTTTCATCGAGTGGTATGAAAATAAATATTTCATGAGTGGCGGTAGCCACAAGTGAAATATGGTAATTTTCATGCCACAAGATGAAAATAAATCATGTATTTATAGAAATAACTTGAATTTTCTGTTTATTATGTACATTTTTCTCTTTTTTGCGATAAAATTTGAAAAACTTTCCCTTAAATTTTGTGTACTGGTAGAATTTAAAAGAAAGTAGTCCGGCAAGACACCAGTGAAAATACGGAAAATATGTTTCACTGCAGCGGAAAATAAATTTTTACATTGAAAAAACAGAAAATGAAAATACGCATTTTATTTCATCAAATATTTCTCAATATTTCATTATATAAGTATATAATAAATATAAGTACATTTATATATAGAATATAAAATATAAATAATAAGTGATGGTGACAGAGGTGTTATGTAAAATGAGTTTGATATCTTTTAGATTATCTTTCCAACATCATTATATCATAACTGCAATATTAAATTAGAGATATTATCAATTACGCTCAGCAAATGAATAGGTTTTAGAGTATAGAAATATTGTAGTATTAATATAGTATTTTTGATTGAAGTATAACATGGAGAGTTTTGACATATATGAGAGAAATGTTGACAAATTAATGCAGGTTATCATTACAGTTACCATATACACAAAATTATTACCACGGCAACTAGCTTGTCATGATTAGTAATAATGTCACATCAGTACGAAAACACAGTTTTACTTGTTTCTTTTCTTTTTCTTTTTTTTACTGTTTTTGGGGAATTAAAATGCCCGTATTGACTTGAAGTGAAAATGTCAAAATTGAAAATGCATCATTGCTGTACAATGTTGGCAGTATATTGTAGTGTTGAATGATTGATGATTTAATATGTGTTCCATTTACTTGATATATAATACAAATCGGCCTTAAATCCAGACGATCAAACATGACTTGTGCAGACTCTGTATTTCTGTTTAACATCTTTATGACATATTTTTTGGTGTAAAAAACAACCTTTGGGTTAAAATGGAGCAATTACGAACAAGAGTGACGTTTTTTAATGTTTGTATATTAAATTGTATATTAAAATGCACAAAACTGCAAAATAAGTGTTAAATGCACGGCTGCTTACAGGAAACTTAACAACCCATTAGCTAGAAAATTACCGAAAATAAATAATTTATTTTGTTTACGAGAATTTCATGTACTTAAAGTTAAAAGGTATGGTCGGGCCCTTTTTGTGTCCTCCTTTATGTCCTTTTATGACCTGTTGAAATACTATCCTATTTGTGCTTAAAGGAAATCTCTGACTGAAAACCACAAAAAATATCACAAATATAATCCTAAGAGATAATTTGTCAGTATTTTTTTTTTTTATCTTAGTACATGTAATGAAGTCATAGACATGCTCATTCCATAAATTTTGTTTAATAAATATGCAATACCGGTAGTTAAATAATAATCTCTTGTTTTGTGACAGTTGAATACATGTACCATGTATTTAATATCCTGAAATAAATCATTGTAAAAGATAATTTAATTTTTAGCTCGACAATAATTGTACTTGCCTTGGTGTAATTGTTGCTGTTGTCACTTTCGCACTTTAATTTTTTTTTTGTGCAAGTTTGTATCTCTCTCCAAAATTACTGAAGGGGATGAGTCGAAACTTCACATACTCTAAAACTAAGAATAAAAAACTTTTCAGGAGTAGATATGCATGAAAGCATTCAGAAAAAAAACCAACAACATACCTTCAATTTTGTAGAGTAAACAAAAATAACTGTTTTTAGCTATCGGGTACTGCTTCGATACCAGTAAAAGCAGCATTTTGGGGAATTAATGAGCTTGTAACGTTTTGTGTGTGTCAATACCTTAGTGTTGTCAAAATGGACACAGTAATGGTTACTATATTTCTTGTCTTTTGTTATTTCAGGCACCAGGTTCTATATCGGACAGTTTGTCTTCCCTCGACAGCAGTTACGTGAGCAGTCAGTAAGTATAGCTTACGTCATGTTGATTTGCTTATGTACAATAGAATTAATCATTTTTAATTTTTTTTAATTTTGAGTGAAAACTTGGCAAAAATCCCGATCTTGTAAGTTACGTTTAATATTCCTGTAAGGTTAAAGGTCATTTGAAGATGTTCCAACTTGTTGGACGGAGAACTGGCTTGATGTCTTTCTGTGAATTGTATCAGGCACAAATCTGCCCATTTAATAAGTTAAAGTATACAGGCTATTTACTTTTTGTGATAAATTATTTGATTAAAAACAGATTTTTGTGTGTATAAAGAATAAAGTTTTTACACCTGTCGCCCTAACTTAAGCATCTTCAAAGATTTTAGAAGTTGCTTTTTATGGGGATAAATTTGAATAATGTTAATTAACAGACGTAATGTGTTTGTAAATTAATTTTATTGCTACACATTTAAAAAAAAAAATCACTTGGAGATAGAATCAAAGGTTTGTGTTTTTAAGGAGATCAATAACCCCAAGGAAAAATGAACTCAAAGTAATAAAATTACAACACTAGATGATAAAAATTATTTATGGTGTTTATATGGTTAATGTTTTTGTACTAGAAAAAAAACTTGGTTACATTCAGCTAACTTGAATGATTGTTCTCTATTGTATTTCACCATTCTGTGGTTTCTGTGTTTGATTTGTGAGAAAATTTGCAAACTTTTGTAATGGTATTTTACTTTAAATTATTTGGTTATATATTATTTTGCAAAAAGTAATGTTATATGGGGTATGACCTACATTGTGACTTCATTATGGCTGAGTGATTGCTGTTGATGCTTGTGAAGCAATAATTTTGCCCCTTCATAATTGACAGAAATTGTCATCACATACTTTAAGGATTATTCTTGTAATTAAGTTATCAAGCTATTACTTACAAAAGTGTTGCATGTTCTACTTGGGTTATTCATAGCAAAGTAGCTCACACAGGGGTGTGCATTAAATTCACAGGGGGTATATTTTGTCAATTTGTGTAATATACAATATATTGCATTACTTTCAAGTAACCTGTAGGTGTACATGTATATTTAATTTTTAATCTGAAACATTCTGTATTCACAGTGGTGACACATATCCCATGATAAGAAATCGTCGTGACTCAAGAAGAAGTATCCTCTCTGATGGTGCCAAAGATGAATATGGTATGGTAATTGATTTATGTAAGATGAATATGGTATGGTAGTTGATTTATGTAAGATGAATATGGTATGGTAGTTGATTTATGTAAGATGAATATGGTATGGTAGTTGATTTATGTAAGATGAATATGGTATGGTAGTTGATTTATGTAGGATGAATATGGTATGGTAGTTGATTTATGTAAGATGAATATGGTATGGTAGTTGATTTATGTAAGATGAATATGGTATGGTAATTGATTTATGTAAGATGAATATGGTATGGTAGTTGATTTATGTAAGATGAATATGGTATGGTAGTTGATTTATGTAAGATGAATATGGTATGGTAGTTGATTTATGTAAGATGAATATGGTATGGTAGTTGATTTATGTAAGATGAATATGGTATGGTAGCTGATTTATGTTGAAAATAGAAAACATTCTTGTAATAATGCCAAAACTTTTCCCATCATTAGATCTAATTAAGAACGGAACCTTCAATTATGTCTTCACATAAAATTAACTAAAACATTAACATTTTATAACACATGTCATCACAAGTTATATTTTAACACTGAATGTTTGTTATTTTGTTTATCTGTTTTTATGCAGATTTTAATGCAATTTGTTTAGATCTTGGCAGTAAGTCCACATAACCAGTAATTACCAATTCCTCTGCAAGTGACCGACAACTAATTGCACATGTTTTAATTATTGAATCATCGGTGACGGACAAATGACAATAAGACATAAGATATCTGAGATAATTTGTCAAAATAAATGGCCCTTTCCGAAGGATCAAACAAGTTTCTGCTGGATTACAAATCAAATGTTCAATATGAGACATTTGTGTTCCACGATTATTTCAAGCTTTAGATTCCCTTTCAAACAGAATATTTTTACACTTTCTTTTCAGATGGTAGAGGGAGTCGGTTTGGAACATACCCACGAGGTTTTGACTCGGGAACTCATTCTGCCAATGTTGAAGGTCATGGTACGTTTCCAAGGTCAAACATTGTACAGCATCGGCGACCGGAACTTACAACAACGTCTCTACGATCTCTCATGTCAACGAGAGGAAGTGAGGGAACGTTAAGTACCAGTTCAAGTAGTTCCGGTTTCCCGCCTGATCCGGAAGATTCACCGGAAGGTCGGATATTTAAACGTAACAGCAATGATGGTAGTCCAATTTTTCATCCAGCATTTTCAAAATGTAAGTATTAGATGCCGCATTGCTTGTAACATTAAAAATATTGTTTCAATCGGAATGCTACCAAAATGCCTGGATGAAAGACAAATGAAAGTTTATTTTCCTGAAAGCTAATAACACATGTATGAAATCATTGCTAAACTGTTAAAAACCCTACTTCTTGCTATTCAGTCTGTAAATATTTTTAAATCTTTCTAAAAAAATGATTGGTATTGGAATGTCCAGATTGAAAGATTCCAAGTTCTATTTAAGATAAGTAGTGTAGAAATGGGGGTTACCCCTTAGTCTGTTAAGTGCTATCAAAATAATCTTTGCAAACAATTTGGTACCAGAAGAGAAGCGGAGTAACCAAGCTGTTTGACTTACGGCAACAAACAAAATCTTTGTCTCTCAAAGGGTGTAGGTTTGGAGAGGTTATATTGTATGTAATAATAATATGTCTTAATTTTTTTGTGTGATTTTGAATTAATCTACTGTTCTATTTATAGCACCTACATTTTTTATTTATAGCACCTACATGTTCTATTTATAGCACCCACCTAAATGTTCTATTTATAGCATTTACATGTTCTATTTATAGCACCTACATGTCCTTCAAATTGGAAACAAGGTCAGAGGTTAGGGAGCGGGGCATTTGGTGAAGTATTTATTTGTTTTGATCATGACACTGGAAGAGAACTGGCTGTAAAGATGGTGAAACTTCATGGTCAAAATGCAGAAGTTTCAAAGGTAGGTGTTTATGTCATGATGTTATTTCGTTTTTTGGTGTATATACAGCAAGGCGATTTTCCTTAATATCTGTAAATCTGTTTGAAATGTTTTTGTTTAACAATAGGCTAAGTTTTTAGCTCACCTGAGCATATGCTCAGGGTGAGCTATTAGGATCACTCTTCGTCCGTCGTCCGTCGTCCGTCGTACGTCGTCCGTTGTCCGTTCACACTTTTCAAACGACATCTCCTCTGAAACCATAAGGCAGATCATAATGAAACTTCACAGGGATGTTCCTTGTGTGAAGCCTTAACAAAGTTGTTCAAAGAATTCCATTCCATGCAGAACTCTGGTTGCCATGGCAACCAAAAGAAAAAACTAGAGCTTAGATATTTGGTATGAAACATCTTCTAGTAAGTGTCTACCAAGATTGTTCAAATAAAAGCCCTGGGGTCAAAATTGGCCCCGCCCCAGGGGGTCATTGATTTTCCCTATATGCATATAGTAAAAACTTTAAAAAATCTTCTTTTAAAGAACCAAAAGAGCTAGAGCTTAGATATTTGGCATTAAACATGTTCTAATGGATGTCTACCAAGTTTGTTCAAATAAAAGCCCTGGGGTCAAAATTGGCCCCGCCCCAGGGGGTCATTGATTTTCCCTATATGCATATAGTAAAAACTTTAAAAAATCTTCTTTTAAAGAACCAAAAGAGCTAGAGCTAAGATATTAAGCATGAAACATCTTCTAATAAGTGTCTACCAAGATTGTTCAAATAAAAGCCCTGGGGTCAAAATTGGCCCCGCCCCAGGGGGTCATTGATTTTTCCTATATGCATATAGTAAAAACTTAAAAAAATCTTCTATTAAAGAACCTAAAGAGCTAGACCTAAGATATTAAGCATGAAACATCTTCTAATAAGTGTCTACCAAGATTGTTCAAATAAAAGCCCTGGGGTCAAAATTGGCCCCGCCCCAGGGGGTCATTGATTTTCCCTATATGCATATTTAAAAAACTTAAAAAAATCTTCGTCTAAAAAACCCAAAGAGCTAGAGCTTAGATATTTGGCGTAAAACATGTTCTAATGGATGTCTACCAAGTTTGTTCAAATAAAAGCCATGGGGTCAAAATTGGCCCCGCCCCAGGGGGTCATTGATTTTCCCTATATGCATATAGTAAAAACTTAAAAAAATCTTCTCTTAAAGAGCCAAAAGAGCTAGAGCTAAGATATTTAGCATGAAACATGTTCTAATGGATGTTTACCAAGTTTGTTCAAATAAAAGCCCTGGGGTCAAAATTGGCCCCGCCCCAGGGGGTCATTGATTTTCCCTATATGCATATAGTAAAAACTTTAAAAAAATTCTTTTAAAGAACCCAAAGACCTAGAGCTAAGATATTTAGCATGAAATATGTTCTAATGGGTGTCTACCAAATTTGTTCAAATAAAAGCCCTGGGGTCAAAATTGGCCCTGTCCCAGGGGTCATTGATTTTCCTTATATACATAGAGTAAAAAGTTAAAAATCTTCTATTAAAGAACCCAAAGAGCTAGAGCTAAGATATTTAGCATGAAACATGTTCTAATGGATGTTTACCAAGTTTGTTCAAATAAAAGCCCTTGAGTCAAAATTGACCCTGCCAGGGAGAGGGGGGGGGGGGGCAAAAGTCGTTGTTATTCATTATTTGTGTATAGTTAAAACTTAACATCATGAAATATCTTCTAATGGGTGTCTTCCAAGTTTGTTCAAATAAAAGCCCTTTGGTTTAAACTGGCCCGGCCCTGGGGGCCTATGTTCAGGTGAGCGACCCCAGGGCCATCATGGCCCTCTTGTGATAAATATAAAGCGAGTAACCATTGTAGAATAGAGATTGCCGATTTCTTTGTCACTCAGCATTTCAAGTCCAATCAAGTGTCAGGGGTCACTGTACAATTCTTTTTTGTGAGGACATCGCCTAGCCATGTAAAATAAATTGAGGGGGTTATACTTAGTTGTAAATATTTGTAAATCTTGTTTCTGTCTGGCCAATAACACATGCAAACAAACAGTTGTAAAATTGTACTAGACAGCTAAAGGGACATGGATGTATAAAAGAACTATTTGAAACATACTATATAACTTTTTGATTGCACTGCCCCTATGTAGATCCCAGTAGTGGGCGAAATCACTGGCTACTGAAGATTTTAATGTCAGATATGGGATAAATAAAACTGGTTTTAAATCACTAGAGACAGTGTTTTGCCACTGGCCAATTCTCACTGGTGATATTTGCCGCTTGTGGCTGAAGGGTTGCCTTTAGATTTGAGGCATAAGTATTACATTTAAAGTTTATTCCTGTGTACCTATAATCTCTAATTATGATAATGTGATCGTAAGAGGCCACTGAATGAGTTTGAAGACCTGGAGTCTATGCATCTTTTAACTCCAGCAGGTGAGGTGGTTTTGACACCTGGTGTTGCTTTTAAGTTTGAAACACCCGAAGTAAACCAAAATCATCTTTCCTGTTTCAGGGCCATATGAGCTATACTGTTGAAAAAAAACAAACACACAGTGGTGATTTTTATAATTCTAGCAGAGCACTTAAATCCTACTTTGTGTAAATGCCAGAAAGAACAATGTATCTTTTTATATACTTTTTTAACATGCAAAAAGTACTTTTACCAGAGAATGGTTATGTATATATAATTGATTTTTGTTTTTCAGGAAGCACGAGCGTTAGAAAATGAGATTATTTTGTTAAGAAACTTTCAACATGAGCGAATTGTTCAATATTTTGGTTGTTCAGTGGATAGAAGTGAGATCTGTATATTTATGGAATTTATGCCTGGTGTAAGTTTTACTGATTTTATTTTGTTTTTCTAACCTGATTACTTTATGCTCATGGTATATCATCTATATTTCATACTACTTTGCTTACATTATGCTACCTTTATGACAAATAATTTCAAATTCAGCCTTGCATTCTTTTGGTAACAAGCATCTAACATGCTCTAAAAACCATTATTGATACATTATAACACTCATGTAGGAAAAATTCATTCATTCTGGAGGCATAATGTGGGGCTCCATTGAGGTCCCAAATCATAAAACAATAAACTTTGAAAATCCTATACATGTACATAGATCATCTGGGCACTAGATCATCTGGGCACTTAAATGCAAAAATACCAAACAGATAATAAAGTCACTGATCTTCAGTATTATTTTGAAATTATCAAAAAAAAACACCAAAAAAACCCACACATTTCAGTGGAGTCCGTTTAAAGCTTTAGTTTATGTTATATGATGAGATATTTCTCGTGTTTTCAGGGATCAATATTTGACATAATGAACAAGTATGGTGCACTATCAGAACCAGTAGCAGCTAGATATACTAGACAAGTTCTAGAAGGCCTTGCTTACTTACATAGAAATGTGATAGTTCATAGGGATATAAAAGGTAGGTTACACCTCAATGTGTCTTACTTCATAGGGATATAAGGTTTACATGAAGATCTGAGCATCAGCCTTGTTGCTGATTTAAATTTTCTGATAAATCTATTATAAGATATAGTTCCCATATGACTATTTTAGATCTTATGTTGATCTGCAGTCACTGTGTTTCGCTGCCTAGTCAAATCGGATTTGCCGATAAAGCTAATATCTGTCAACCAATCCAATCATTTGTAACAAAAAAGGAATTTTACAAAATCATTGTTCTTACCATATACATAAAGTCATACAAGACTTTAATCTGGCATTAAAAATACACTTAAGTAGATATTTCAATTAGTTTTTATTCTGATTATTAGAGTTTATCATTTTTGGTATCGAAGCGTTGATTCAAGCTTATCTATTTGCATGTGTAACAAATGGGAAGTTTGTTGATTTTGGTAAATGATAGCAGTTACAAATTATGTGGTATATGACAGGTGCTAATGTGTTACACAGAAATATGTTTTATTACAGGTGCTAATGTGTTACACAAAAATATATATTACATGCTAATGTGTGTCACAAGTTACGTGTTATATTACAGGTGCTAATGTGTTACACAAGTTACATGTTACATTACAGGTGCTAATGTGTTACACAAGTTACGTGTTATATTACAGGTGCTAATGTGTTACGAGATAACTCTGGTAATGTGAAGTTAGCAGATTTTGGAACAAGTAAACGGTTACAAACTATATGTAGCGTATCGGGACTAAAATCAATTATAGGGACACCGTACTGGATGGCTCCCGAAGTTATCAACGGTGAGACGTACGGACGGAAAGCAGATGTCTGGTATGTTTAGTTGTTTTAGTTATACGTTAATTAAGCTTAAAATGTTGCCACGGATACAGCTTTAGCTTGTGACTGGTGTAAATAATTGTAGTGAAATGTGAATATAGCTTACTAAAACATTTATGGCTTTACTGTGACATCAAATTCAAGTGACAAAATAGGATGCATAGCTACATCCAGTGCTAGTTTAGGAAAGATCTATGGTTTTACCTGCCGGACTTTGTGTAGAAATAGGTATGCAGCTGCATTTTGACTAGCTTATAAAAATATTTTGATCTAGCATCCTGTCACAGGTAACATAGGGAAGCTGCATCAGGCCTTGTTTGATCAGTTAAAGCTAGTAAATCAATACAATTTCTTTACTTGTGTTTATTGTGATTAAGACTTGTACAATGCAAAGAAAAGGAAAGAAAAGTGGTATATTTTAAATGAACAAGTTCAAATAAATATCAAAACTTTCAATTTTATTATACATATTTTGTTAGCTTCAAGCAGGCTTTGATTAATTATATTCATTTTTGTCACATTTAGATAACATTGTTATTAATGCAATCCATTTGTAATTTTCATGAACAGCTGTACTGTGTTTACTGAACAGGTGCACCAATTAACAACCAATTAAGAAAAATGTTATGTTGATAATTAATGAATAAAACATTCGACTTGTGGCAAATTGACACAGGTTCTTACTTATAAATCATAGGATTTTAGCTCACCTGTGTACAAGATGTTTTGTGATTGCTTGATGTTTGTTGTATATTGTTGTCTGCTATTTTTTTGAACATTAATTTGACTTAATTGACTTGTATTAGAAAATAACTTGTGGCAATTTTCTAAAAAAGATTACAAGATTTAGAGCTAAAATGGCATGAGGAATTGATCAGTTGATTTGTCCATACAAAATCATAAATCATGTCCCCTCGATGAACAAGTTCTTGACCTGGAGTCACTTTTGTTACATACACTTGTATAGGAAAACACATTTAAAAAGGGAGTCACTTTTGTTACATACACTTGTATAGGAAAACACATTTAAAAATCATTACCTCTGAAATTACAAAGCCTGGAGCATTGATAATATATTATATTTATATAGCAAAATATTTATATAAATCATGTTCCTTGGGTTTAAATGGCAATGCTCTGGTGTTGCTTTTGTGTTATAGACATCTTGGATACAAAATCTTGAGCAGTTTTAGACTGTGACCTAAAGGACAAATTATATACAGTTAAACTTTGTTCGCTCGAACTCGGATCGCTCGAATACCTCCCTTCGCTCGAACTCATCGCCCAGTCCCGGCAAAATTCCTATCTAATATATATTGTTCTACCTCGGATCGCTCGAACACCGATCGCTCGAACTCTCGAACCTGATCTCTGGTCCCTTCGTCAGAAATATAGTGAAAATCACACCTTTTCGGTCGAACACAAAAAGACAAGTCGGTATGTTCTAAATAAATGACAGCCGGCGACACATGTTTTTAACACCTCGTGATCGTGACAAAGGTAATTAAGGTTAATTGATACAAAAATAAGAGGTGTTGTAACCGATTTATTTGTATGATAATATTGTTGATTTGCCGTTTATGGTAACGATAAAAAGAAAATAACTTGTGAAATAAGTGAAATATGCATGCCAATAAAGAATGACGTTTACCCGGACGGCTTTAATTACAACCGTGGTTCATGTAAAGTGAACCGTAAAAGTGTTATCTATTTATAGAATGATACGTGTATGTGTGTTTATTTTAGTAAATGGCTACAAATAGATGCTGCTGTAAATGTTTTAATAAATATTTCATTAATTTATTTTTTAAAATTAAATTCATCCCATTATAAACATATAATTATAGTTTGAACATTGTTTAACAAGTTTGGTGTGATTGCCCAATCCAACTCAACCAATTACAATATGCATGAATATAGATTAACACAGCGTACCGTTAATACTTAATTAAAACACTTGGATAATAATTCTGAATATGAAATATTCGACAAACAGATATACTAACAAACAATTATATTGACGCATTTATCATTCGACCGATGTAAGCTAGGAAAAACTTTAGTCATATGATCAACGTAATATAATAGTTCAACCTCGGTTGGCTCGAACTACCGATCTCTCGAACAAATTTGCACAGGCCCTCCGAGTTCGAGCGAACGAAGTTCGACTGTATCTGGAATATTTGAACCTTAATTACAGTTTTGTATGTAATATAAAACTATGACCTTCAATAAAAGCCATAACTTTTAATTTCCCCCTTTGTTATCGTTAAGAATGCAAAATATTTGTTTCTGTTAACAGAGACTATAGTTGTCAATCTTTAGCTAAGTTGTACATTGCCGTGCATGTAGTACTTAATACTTTGATTTGCTTGCAATGTCATATGTTATTTATGTCTCCAAAGACGTACCTTACTATTCCACATTAGCTTTTGGGATCATTAATGAACTTCCTTTTCAAAGACCCTTTCCTTTGCGTCCATTGAACGCCACCCTTCCTTGGTGATCTTGTATTTCATATTTTACCTTGGACTTGAATTTTACCTCTAAGATCAAATTTCTACAACAATTACTCAGCAATGACCAACTGGTGAACTTTTGTTATGGCATACATTTGTATGTATCAATGCCATACATTTGTATGTTACAGCATTCGTTTGTATGTTTCAGCATCCGTATGTATGTTTCAGCACCTGTTTGTATATTTACAGCATCCCTTTGAATGTAAAAGCATCTGTTTGTTTATTACAGCATCAGTTGATATATAACAGCATCTTTTTGTATGTTACAGCATTGGTTTGTTTATTTCAGGAGTGTGGGATGTACTGTTGTAGAGATGCTGACTAAAAAACCACCGTGGGCTGATCTCGAAACAATGGCAGCCATTTATAAAATAGCAACAACTGAATTTCCAAGATTTACTCTTCCCAACGGTTTATCATCGCATACGGATGACTTTTTAAGATTGTCCTTCAGACGTAGTCCGCAGGAACGACCTACGGCTGAAGATTTGTTACTGCATCCGTTTGTAAATAGATGACATTGAATCTATAGAATGTTTATTTTAATTTGATAATTGGATGGGTCGTTGATAAGGGGCATTTTGTTGGGGGAGTGTTACAGTAAGATGATTTGGGTATAAATTTTACGAGGGAAGAGTCTTTCAGGATGATGATTACAGTGTATATTGTATACTCAAAAAAATAAAAACTGTGTTCAACATAGAGATAAAATATGTTACCATAGCTACAGTATAGGAGATATACAGAGATTTGTTATTATTTTGTTAAAGTTTGTGTTAATGATACTGTTATACTATGAGGCGGAAGAAAGTGAACTTCACATGTGATAGCTCTGTTGATGGAGGCGGAGACAAAAGTGGGTGGAGTGAAGGGGGCGGAGTTAGTTGGCGTTTCCTGCTAAGCAGATGATGAATACTTACATGCATTTTTAATCAGTAAAAATTTATCTGTAGATTATATATGAAGATACTTATGTTTGTTAAGTTATGTGATTAAAATACCCAAGTGCCTGATTGGTTAATTCTGAGCATATATTAGATGTTGACCAATGAAAACCTTGCATTTGAATAGCGGATCTCTTGGCGTAATATATTAATTATATCTTTGTCCCTAATATTCTGAAATTATTAGCTTGCCTTCACATTTTAACAAAGTTTAAGGAACATGTTTTGATCAAAGGACACTATCTTAATCAAACTTTAACATAGAAACGTTTGTTTGTGATGCAGTTAAAAAAGGGAAATAATTGTCTAGGGGAAGTAATCAAAAAAGGTGAAAATATGTTGCAAAGGGAGATAATCAAAAATGTAATAATGTGAATGTGTGGGACTTTGATTCCAGAAAAATGTTGTTTTTATACTGGCCTAGATAATAATTTTTTTTACTGTTTATTGTTAAATTTCTTTGTCCAATCATAGTTCATTACATGAATTAATCATTTTATTGTCAAGCAATTACTGATGTTAATAGAAAAATATGTTATAGGCAAAGATAAGTGTCAGATTTAAGAAGAAACAAATTGATTTCTTCCATTATGAATATTCCTCTTTCTCCTTTTATTTTTCTTTAAAAAATATATATTTCATTTAATAATGTGCCTTTTCATTTATTTGTGCCAACAATTTGTAGCATGGAAAGATTATTCTGTCACATTTTACACTATATTGTTCTCAAACCTACAGACTTATCTTTTAACTGGAATTATGTTTTTTCCCCTTTAAAATTTGTCTCTATAAATGAAATTTTTTTTATTAATAATTTTCATTGTTTTTTTTATTCTCTGCTAAATTCAACAGTTTAATAATAAGTAATAATGATACAAATTAATTTCATTAGTCGTTACCCAAAAAAGAACTGCAGCTATGTTTTAAAAATACATAAGGTTAAAGACTGTTACTCTTCCGGTGTTTTTGTAATTCAAAATTGGTGTGACACATATTATTATAGTTTAATCTTTTACAAAATAGTATTAATTTCTTTGTTTCAATAAAAAAAGGCTTTAAAAGATGTTATAAGGAACTCGGCAAATAAGCGTTTTTCTCAACTAATACCATGGTGCAAACAAACTTTTACCTTCAAAGCTTCATGGTGTATTAGCGTTCACATTACAGTTATCAAATTGTTGTCGATATATATCGCAAACAGTGATTTTATCGCTCAGTAAGTAGCCCGAGTAATATAATGATGCGCATCCAAATGACAAACAGTGATAAGGGATACAATCACCGATTTGGATATATATTTTCAATGTAACATAACTTAAACAAATAAATGCTGCCGTACCTGATATTAAGCAAAATTGCGCCTGATTTGTTTCTGTACTTATTTTCAGCACATTTTATATTCAGTGGTTACATCATTATTATGTATAATGATTACGTCACAAGTCTATATATAGAACATCAACAATGATTTTATTGCATAATAACCTACTCTTTTGGTTAGGGAAAAATGCGGGTCATGTTAGAGTTAACAAGTTGTAACTGTAAAAATGTAATTAGATAGAAAAATGCGCAAATTTGCCGAGTGTCGGACTATCTTTGTTTTAGAGACCCCGATGACTGATTTGTACTACATATAGATTTTATGTTTCATATGGACGAGATAGGGTCACTCTTAGACATGTTTCTATGGTTTCATACCTTCTGCCTAAGAAGTTAAAGTATTGAAACATTACATAGAATTTTTTCAAGCTTTTTCGTATTGTAGACCCACGTCACATAAAATTCTATATGTTGCATATCACAAACATTTTATTTGACAGACTTAAATCAGCCGGAAATGTAGATAAAAGCGACATGCCTCAAGATTAGTGAATTAAAAATATGGTTTTTAAGGAAAATTTGAAAGAAAAAAATTCTTTTTTTAACACTAATAAAATAATTTTTGCTTATTTAGACACAATAGAAAGGAAAACTTACAGTGGAAGTGTATAAAGCTTACTTAAATTACTATAAATTTGACAATATTTTAATGCCTCCACTTCTAATGGTTAGAATAGCCCTTGCTCATTGGGGATGCTATATTACTGTCAGCCTGTAGAAGTTCAAAACAGTGGAATATGTGGGTCGCCATGGCTATGGACATATTTCTAGTCTCTATTTAGAACACTTCCTAAATTTTTTATTAAATTTAAAATTTGGTGTCAATCTTGAGGTATGCAGCTTTAAAAACAATTTTGTTGGTAGATTATCGGTCTTCATTGGTAGAATATATGTCTAATTAACATCTTGTTTAATGAAGCTTTACATTTAATTACATTGTTCATTTAAAACAGTGAAAAATGATGCCTGTAGAACATCTCGAGTAAAACATCATTTACAGTTGAATGTTAACATTAAAATAAGATTAATTTGAACAAACATTTTCAATTAAGATTTTTTGTTTTGTTTCAATTAATTGTTGTTATTACAATGTTGATTTACCAACAGTATGGAAACAGCTTAAAGTTAACTTGATGTAAGATTTTAAGATTTGCATGAACTTTTCAATCATTAAGATATTTGAATTAATTTAGGGAATGCATTTCATATTTTTGGGGGTTTTTTTAGGTGATATTTAATTTGGAATATTGTATGGTTATGAGGTCAGTTGATAAGTAATATAATAATAAAAGTTGTGACTGTTTATGATAAAATAAGAAATTATCTGATTTAGAACAACTAACTGTGCAGTGTAGAATACAGTAAAAACTCTGAAAAGCGGACCCTCTGAAAACTAGAATCCTCCGAATACTGGAGCCTCTGAAAACCCGACAATTTTAAAAGTCATGTATTTCCTCATTATAAATTCATTGAAATATAAACCTCTGAAAACCGGAATCCTCTGAAAACCAGACTTTTCGTTGAGTGGGGATAGAGTCCGGTTTTCAGAGTTTTTACTGTAACACAGCACTAACATGGTTACATTTTTTCCATTTAAAAATATGTTAATCAATGCAGTCCGACCTGGTCTTGAGGTTATGAAACATTTTTTTTTGTGAGATCTGACTTGGATCTCGGGATTTTCATTGGTCAGTGCAAATTCTGTGCAGGTGTCTGACCAATCAAATACCTAAGGAATGAGTTTTGAAATTAAAAAAAAAAATTCTTAACCTCTGGTCAAGGCTCTAAATTGATGATGGTCTTTTCCGATAAAATGAAAGGTAGAAAAACTCATTTGAGAAACTTGGTAAAATAATTGATAGTGTCACATTCACAAGCCATTGAAACATGAAAATTTTGTTTTTTCTTATAATGTCTAAAGGATATTAATTTTTGGTGCAATTTTTCTTTATATATGAATATTTTCTTTTTTCCAAAAGCCTCTGGACAACGTTTTTTCTTTCTATAGTTTTATTTTATACATTTTTATATATGAAACTGAAAGCGTCTTTAAAAATACATTACACCAACTAAAACCGTCGTAATTTGTATCTCCCATTTGCCAAAATTTAAGAGTAAAATCTATGCAATTTTATACAGAACCCTTTTGTACTATTTCATGTTTATATTTTGTCATAAATATGTAGTTTTTAAACTTCTGACAATATTGTCAGTATAGATTTTCTGACAATTTTTATCTATTTTTATCTGGCATTGTCAGTGCATTATTTATCCAATCATGATTTTGAATTCAGTGATGTGATTCATTTGTCAGAAAAAGTATTTTTGTCATGGTTAGGCCAAACTCTTGTAATATTACATTTGTCAAAATTTTCCAAGTTTGTTAGGAATAATGGAGAATTTGCTTTGTCATATGGTATAAATTAATTAGATTTTTTTTAAAGTTAAACTTAAGTTAATGCATTTTGTATGTCTCAATGCTGATGTCAGAAATCATGTGGAATTAGTTGTTAACGTCACTTGCAGAATAATCAATCATTGCTGGTTTGTTATTCAGGAAAGCAGGTTAGGTGGTTGGACTGCCAAGCTATGACATAAAAATGTATAAAAGAAAAATCGGCTTACAAAACCAGACAAAGAAGCATTGATATAAAAAAAAAGATTTCATTGAATCTGGATTAACTAAATAATCAAACTTTTGGGAGTTTCAATGGTGACAGTTTAACAGACAATACAGACAATACAAAATGTCACCATGTTGGACAGCTCTAAAATCTCACATTTAAACTGCATTTTCTATATTTGTAGGTACATGATTATCTGTAGGAAAATACTGTATATTTTTATTTAAAGCAGCATGCCTCCAGATTCATGCTAATTTTTCATGAAAATTTTGAAAATGTATTTAAAGGTAAAATATTCTGCAGTGAACAAAGAAAGTAATTTACACATTGCAAATTTCACAATCATTCCACATAAATTACCAAAAAGAGGTCAAAATGTATACATAAATGCCTCTTACTGCCTTAGTAACGCAGTAGAATTATAGTGCTTGATACTGCAAAATCAGTCATTAATTGCACATAACATGTAAAACATTAATTAAATATTGAATCTTTTTACTTTTCTAAAGATCTTGGTTCATTTTTCTAAAAATTGAATTTCTTGAAATATTTTGGCTCATCTGAAGGCGTGCAGCTTTAATAGTAAGAAAGAATGTGCAATTGAATCTTGCAGTCTTGTTTTTCTTTATCTGTTAAGTATTTCAATGTCTGTTAGTTATGCAATTTCTTGTTTTGTTTTAGTGAACAGAGATTTTATTGAATGTTTGAAAATTGGGGAATTACGCTTTGGTATTGTTTGTTTTAATATATCGACAGATCTGTTTTTTTAGAATAAGCCTATTGTATGTTAGAATATTATTATGTGTAATAGAACACTTGTTAGGTCCGAACAAACTTATCACCGATGTATTGCGAGGAAAAACTGAAATAAGTTTTCATATTCATTGTACATATACTGGTTTCTAATTCAGAAACACATAATTATGTATAATCAAAACAGATGTGCTATTTTGTGATCATGTGATATCTTTATATAGAATATTATACTATGTGTGATCATGTGATATCTATATATAGAATATACTGCGTGATCATGTGATATCTATATATAGAATATAATATTGTGTGCGATTTAACCATGACCACGGTTCCCCAGCACACACCTTTTGGCACAGTCGGTGCTTGGCTTCAAATCCGGTGTTCTGTTTCCATTTCTGATTTTCAGGCTGTCAAGTAGGCCCTTCTTTGTTTTTTTTTTCAAAAATGCCTTGCCTTACAAAGGCTTTATCTAGTACTTATTGTTTTGTCCTTTAGATTCTTATACAAACATTGTAGACTGACGCTGTTTCAGTTGAATGTATTTACAAGCATTACTCCTTTAGGTCCAGGCTTTTTATAATAAAAAATGTATCCATATATATATATAATATTTAATAAAAGTACAGTAAAAACTCCCTACTGCGACCACTGAAGGGACTATGCAGATCTGGTCTTAATAACGGATTGGTCTCATTAATGAGTTTGGTCAGTTTAATCAAGTAATTTTGAAAAATGTCTTTTAACAACAAAACACACTGACGGATTTAACCTTTCATTATTTTGCAGTTTTCATTGCTGGTTACAACTTCAGTAACTTTAAGTCTTGAAATCTGGGTGGTCGCAAAGCGGGTTTTTACTGTATGTTGAAAATATTAATTATGCCACTGTTATAAAAAAAACACCCTTGTTCTCCCACTCTAATTTAGTTATCAAAAAACATCACAGAATTTATTCACTGTCTGAATTTCATGAAAATTAGCATGAATGAGAACATGCTGCTTTAGTGGCATTACTTAAAAGTCTGGCGATTACGTTAGTGTAACCTTGGAAATAGTGACACATATAAGTAATTTCGATCATTTTCATCAAACATTTTCCAAAATGAAAACTGATGTTTGGCCAAAGGTCTGTAATAGTCTTTATTTTCCAATTTAATACCTTGCTGAAAATTGTGTGCATTTTTTATTAAAAAAAGTTTCATATGATTTAAAATTTTAACAAAACAAAATTTCATATAATTAGATTTTTAATTGCCAACAGACAATTTCAGGTTATATTTAGAAGCTCAGTAATATTATCTTGATGGGATTTTCATTTTACATAAAAGCGATCTTGAATCAGTTTTAAAGGGGTGTATCTATGGCCAAGTGGTTAAGGGTATTGACTTTAAACGATTTGCCCCTCAAATCCCTCCAGGGACCTTGCATTCTTTAATGTGAGGGATTCTATCAAGATAATTTATTGATGTGGTTCTATTCAGATGGCCCATTCATGTCTGAAATAAAGCCTGGAAGAACACCCAAGGTCTTTCTCCACTAGTTGAACTGGAAAGCCACCCTGTGACATTAACATTGAATGTCATAGAATATATTTTGTGTCTGGTCTGTAACTTTTTCATCCATCAAGTGATATTGAGAAAACTGACCCCTACATCCAAGGTCAAATTAACCCAGACGCCTACATCCAAGGTCAAATTAACACACACCCCTACATCCAAGGTCAAATTAACAATATTAGGTCAAAGGTTAACATGGTCTGTATTTTCTTTTAAGTCCTCTCCATTTATGTACTTTAACTTTCAGAGATGATAAAAACTGAGGAGTTATTTCATTATATATTTCAATTTGATTTACTAAAAAAGTACATGGTTCTTTTACTTATCGCAATGCTCATTATGGCCATTTATTGCACAGATTCAGTGTAACTATTGCACAATTCCTGCAATACACGCTATATACACTGAATTTATACACTGAATTTATGCGAATAAACTTGAGAATATCAAATGGAAATGGCACACACCTGATTTGAAGGCAGGCACCAAAATGTGCCAAAGGTGCGTGTTGAGTAAACTATGCAGATGTCGAAAAGATATTGAAAATATGCTATTAATATTGAAAATAAAATATTTGAAGTAAACCAATGTTTTAATTTATTATATTATATATTCCATACAAATTACTATATAATATATATACCTCCCACCACATTGGGAGTCCAGTTGTTAAGCATAGGTTTTAAGGATACCTAGGGTGTAAAACGTTTTCTGTGGTAAGAAACTTGTCGCGAATTTCTTTTATAATGTATATATACAAGATAAAGGATATGGCCGATGCTGATCTCCTTTGATTACTTTATCCGGTGATCATCTAACATTTGCCAAAGTTTTGTTAAATTCTCCGGACTTCATCCACAAATGCTATACAGATACACACAGGCAGTCAGTGCTTGGCTTGGATAGTTAATACATGAACATGACCACTCCCACATTTTTGATAAAATAAATTTATCACAAATGTTTTTTTTTTTAACATTAATTTTCAGTAAAGCAAAAAAAAATAAGTTGTTTTAATTTCATACATATTATAATAATTTATATAAAAGTTATGGTATATATGGATGAAATTAAAACAACAACTTTCCTTTGTTGTTTCACTGACAATATGATTAAACAAGAGGGCCCTGAGGTCGCTCACCTGTATAAAGGCCCCCCACGTTGCAGGGCCAATTTAACCCAAGGGCTTTTATTTGCACAAACTTGGTAGACACCCATAAGATGTTTCATGCTAAACATCTAAGCTCTAGCTCATTGGGCTTTTTAAAAGAAGATTTTTTTTAAGTTTTTAATATACACATATAGTTAAAAACAATGACACCCCTGGGGCCGGGCCAGTTTTGACCCCAGGGCTTTTATTTGAACAAACTTTGTATACACTTACTAGAAGATGTTTCATGCTTAATATCTAAACTCTAGCTATTTGGGTTTTTTTCAAAGAAGATTTTAAGTTTTTGCTATACACATATAAGGAAAATCAATGACCCCTGGGGCGGTGCCAATTTTGACCCAAGGGCATTTATTTGAACAAACTTGGTAGACACCTATTAGAACATGTTTGATGCTAAATATCTTAGCCATAGCTCTTTGAGTTCTTTAAAAGAAGATTTTTTAAGTTTTTACTATATGCATATAGGGAAAATCAATGACCCCCGGGGCGGGGCCAATTTTGACCCCAGGGCTTTTATTTGAACAAACTTGGTAGACACTTATTAGAACATGTTTCATGCTAAATATCTTAGCTCTAACTCTTTTGGTTCTTTAAAAGAAGATTTTTTAAGTTTTTACTATATGCATATAGGGAAAATCAATGACCCCCTGGGGCTGGGCCAATTTTGACCCCAGGGCTTTTATTTGAACAAACTTGGTAGACACCTATTAGAACATGTTTGATGCTCAATATCTGAGCCATAGCTCTTTGAGTTCTTTAAAAGAAGATTTTTTAAGTTTTTACTATATGCATATAGGGAAAATCAATGACCCCCGGGGCGGGGCCAATTTTGATCCCCGGGCTTTTATTTGAACAAACTTGGTAGACACCCATTAGAACATGTTTCATGCTAAATATCTTAGCTCTAGCTCTTTGGGTTCTTTAAAAGAAGATTTTTTAAGTTTTTACTATATGCATATAGGGAAAATCAATGACCCCTCCGGGCTGGGCCAATTTTGACCCCAGGGCTTTTATTTGAACAAACTTGGTAGACAATCACTAGAAGATGTTCCATGTCAAATATCTAAGCTCTAGCTCTTATGGTTTTTTAAAAGAAGATATTTAAAGTTTTTTCTTTCGGTTGCCATGGCAACCAGAGTTCTGCATGGAATTAAATTCTTTGAACAATTTTTAAAGGTGACCACCAAAGGAACATTCCTGTGAAGTTTGGATGAAATTGGCTTAGTGGTTTATGAGGAGATGTCATTTAAAGTAAAAGTTTACGGACGGACGGACGGACGCCGGACGAAAAGCGATCACAAAAGCTCACCCTGTCACTTTGTGACAGGTGAGCTAAAAAAAAGAACATTTTGAATTATAAAATAAAAGTGGGAGTGGTCATGTTCATGTATACTATCCAAGCCACGCATGGACTGCCTGTGTAATTTAAGAAGTTGGCATAGTTTTGAGCATTTATTTCACCCTAATTGTTTGTTTAAAACATGCAGTATTTTATAAACCTCCACTTTTTCAGGAAAATAATTTGGGCAGTTAAAGCTACATGGTTCCATATGAGTCAAAATATTTCAATAAAATCAAACTTTAGAAAATGTACTAAGATGTAAGAAAAAGGAAAAAAATTCAAGATTCAAGTAATATTTTACATATTATGCGCGATTAATGACTGATTTTTCAGTATTTACATCTATATTTTTACTGCGTTACTAACGCAGTAAAGGCTATTTATGCATATTTTGACCACTTTTAAGTAATTTACGTGTTTGTAAGTGCCATTGATAATGTGTAAATTGCTTCTTTTTGGTTTCTTCACAATATAACACATGCAAATATATTTTCAAAATTTTCATGAAAATTATCATGAATCTGGAGGCATGCTGCTTTAAATACCATTTTAATAATTATCAATATGCAAGATCGTGGCATTCAAAGAGAAAAAAGTTTGACAGTGAAATATTCATTACAACCTTTACACAAAAAAAATGTGTAACTTTCATGTGTCCTATCTGACATCTATGAAGAACCATTTGATCAAGAAGGTTTACAAGAGCTAGAGATGGCGACACTTAAAGGCTTTTGATAATTTTCATTGTGAAATTATCAAATATAATTTTCACGGATAAATCAGTAATCCACTGAAAAGCATAAAATAAAAAAGGATAAAGTGTGGCTGTCAAAATGAACATAAAAGATTTTTGAACTCTTGTCATGCAAAATTCCGTATGTATCAAACTCAAACTGTTATAGTAAAAAATCCAAACACAGTCACTGCATCTCGGTGCCCTGCAAAGTGAATTATAGTATATAAAAATAAACTTATAACAGGAAAATGCATACAGATATACAGTATGATTTAGATTGCAAAGATCAGAAAATACCACAGAGCTTGCAGCCCTTTGATTCAGTCTTGTGGTGTTACTGCAACATACTGTAAATAAACATGTGCACAATAGAGAATGACAGTGATTTATATAAATTACTGCAAATAGATATATATTTAAATATGATACCATTATCAGATGCATTGTAAACCACAGAAGCTTGACAATTTCTATCAATAATTGAAAAATATCAGCAAATATACCCCTCCATGCAATATGGAATTCGACGCTTCAATTTATTTCTTATTTATCTGCATATATATACATGCATACCAATTATTGATAGAAATTAATATTATGACAAGCTCCTGTGTGTAAACAAATCATGTGTAATCATATATAATATAACATGTACACTGGGACATACGTTATCGTCCCAGATGTACAGAAGCCAGAAATAACTTCTTTTAATAAACTTCAGACGCACAGCTCATTTGTAAGTCAAACAAATTATGCAACCAATACAGAACTTTACCAACCTAAATCCACAATCCTTAGAATTTACTAATATATCAACAATTGAAAAACATATATATGTCGGTCTTTTTCAAAAATCGTGACACCTCAGAACCGATTCATTAATAGCCAGGGGAAATCACCTATACTGATTTCAATCAATAAAATACAACTGATTATTTCCCTTTGCTTATACAATGTAATAATATGATATCGTGATGCTGTTGGACCTGTATATTTCCGTGCGATGTCATATGATGAAGATTTTTTGTTGTCATTTGTTCCATGTTTGAATCACCGATCAAATATATCACGCCTTGAGAATAGGGTTATTAGAAATTATCAAAAATCTCGCCTCATTATGTGACCCTTGTCTGTTATTTTGAAATGGAGTTTATTATGTGAGCCCCCAGAGTATTTACTCCAGTTATATAATTCCTGACTCAATATAATGTGATGTGATGTGATGTGATGTGATGTGGTGATGTGATGTGATGTGATGTGATGTGATGTGATGTAATACGAGTATGATATAATGATGAATTAACTTGGGGGAAAAAAGAAAAATTTAAACTTTGATTTGAACGTTGTACTAGAGATTTTGAAGATTTTGTTTTAAGAAGGCTGAGCTACATACTACCTTCATCATCAAAAGAACTGTAAGAGATTAAAACAACTTTTTAAACCTTCTTAATCACAAGAGGTGAGATGAGCCGTGTCATGACAAAACCAACGTAATGGGTTTGCGATCTGCATGGATCCAGACCAGCTCGCGCATCCGCGCAGTCTGATCAGGATCCATGCTGTTCGCTATCAGTTTCTCTACTTGTTATAGGGTTTGTAAGCGAACAGCATGGATCCTGATCAGACTGCGCGGATGAGCAGGCTGGTCTGGATCCATGCTGGTCGCAAACCCAATATGTTGGTTTTGTCATGACGCGGCTCATATATATTTAATTCATTAATAAAGCTAAAAAAACGTTCTTGGGATAGGAAAGTGGCTCCAGCCACTGATGTTTAAATAGAGGCATTTTTCATATCTTTTTTAATATTAAAGCTAATTTAGCATAATACAACAAGTTTGGCGGTAAGAAGCTATGCAATAATTAATTATGTCAATAAAGGCATATCCCTGGAAAAACACCACGTACACAATGTGTCCTTTTTTAGTAAATGAAATTATTGTTTTTGTGATTGTTTTATTTATTTTGTCGACCAAATACATGTCAGGGATCCGACGAAAAAGAAATGACTTTTTCAAAAAAGTTACAATATCTGGAAATTGAACAAAATCTTATTCATATGCCTTTTATGACATGGTTATTTTAAAAAGAGGGGAAAATGTCTGCTTTAAGTTTAATACTTTATAATATTATTGTACTGCATAATTGTACATGCTATATAAACATAAATTTAACATCATTATTAATTTATCAAAATTAAAATGGACACAAACAAGAGCTGTCCATCAGAAAGCGCACTCGACATATGGGGCAAAATATTGTAAAAAACGGTTACTCAGTTATGAAACGTCACATGTGCCTTTATGTTAGAAAATCACAGAGAAGTTCGGTAGATTTGGAGATACCGACATGCACGCAAAAAATGTATGACTTCTGCAGAGAAATACATTGACATGCTGATTGACGCTACATGCCAAACATGCCATGGACATTATAATTTTTGATTAGAAGATTTTTTTAAGAAATTTATTTTCAAAGTCTTTATTTAGCTCGTGTAAAAATACTTACTGGCCATATCGTGCCGAATGCTATAATAGGCTTAAAATGTTAAGCCTATTATAGCATTCGACACGATATGGCCATTTATGTGTTGACGTGCCGTTAAAATCCAAACAAACAAACAAACAAACAAACATAGATAACCCCGACACTGGATATACACTTGTATAAGATCCTTGTTAAAAAAACGAAACAACACAACAACAACAACAACAACATGCTTACACATTTTGAAGCCTTGCACCCCTTTAGTCAATCTAAAAATGGTCAGATATTATCTGTCCAAATGACACTTATCTATGTGTTGGACCAGTACTGTATGCTATGGCCTTAGTATACAGGAGGTTCCGAGTTTACCTTTATATTACGGCGTAAGAAGCTATTTTTTTTATTTTATTTATTTTTTTTAGGGGGGGGGGATATAATGTCTATCCACGAAATGGGCACTTAAACTTATCATTATCAGATTAATAAATATCCGTGAGCATATCTGTATTTTAACAAGCAAATTCGTTGAATTTATATCTCCCGCAGAGTACTGGTTATTACTAACACAACAACTGGAGACATAAGGCTTTATTTATATATTTATCATGGCATAAACATTTTTATATATTTATCATGGCATAAACAGTAAAAACAAGGCAACGATATGCACATCTCCTCTAAATATTGATGGTTCCCTAAAGTATCGTTGAATTCCAGCCAGTATATATATAGTTGCAGAGAAATAGCGCGGAAACGAAATTTGGACTATATGCATACTGCATAACTAAACAAGGACCATAACTCTGTCTTAATGGATCTAACTGGAACAAGGTGACGATATGTGCATCTTGTCCTGGTATTGATTGTTTCCAGACAGCTTTCTTGAAATCCATCCATTAGCTGCAGAGAAATAGCACGCATTAATGGTTCCTATAAAGGTTTGTTGAATTCCAGCCAGTAGTTGCAGAAAAATAGCAAAGAAACTAAATTTTGACTGTATGAAATACTGAATAACTAAACAAGGGTTGTAACTTTGTGTTAAAGGGTCTGACCCCAACAAGGTGGCGAAATGCGCATCTTCTCTTGGCATTGATGGTTCCCATAAATTTTCATTACAGTACATTTCAGCCAGAAATAACGCGGAAACGAAATTCGGACGGACGGACGGATGGATGGATAGATGGACGGACGGACGAACGAACGAACAGACACTACCAAAACAATATCACCCGTCCGATTTCATCGGGGGGGGGGGGGGAAACAACAAAGCTCAAAGAGGTAAAATATTTAGTGGTGTTGACCTTTTACCTGGTGATGATGACAACGATTGTAGCCAGTATTCGTTTGTAAATTTTAACTGGGTCACCTGTCATGGCGGAGAAACAATTTATTGTTGTTTTAATTCTAGGTTTTCTGTCAATTTCTCTTAAATACGGTAAGTAGTATACACGAATATGTACGATCAATATGAATAATGATCATGAAGTTAGTTTACAGGAAAAGATCTGCGTTTTAGATTGATCGATTTTGTGAAAACTGTATTTAAACGCATGAACTAGATTTCATTTGATTTTGTTTTGTTTAGCAGACAAACTGGCACCAAATAAAATACCAGTTTAAAATGAAGATGATATGCGTTTATCCCGTTGTTTCCGCTTTTAATTTTCAAAGTTGATTGATTTTAAATCTAATTAAATTTTTGTTACTCATTTTTGACAGCATTTAATGATTTTGTGCACTATGCAGCCAGATATGCCATCATGAATTTATGATATTCATGATAGATCTATTATCAGATGAAGTCACAGACACTTGGAGCTCAAACCCCTTTAAAATCCAAATATAATGAATTTTTGTCAATCCCAGCACATGTACTGATCAAATATTAAAAAAGAACTTAATATTATATAAGCAGTTTTGAAAAAATTACATATATGCCTTGTTCTCATATTTTCGGGGGTTCTCATATTTTCGTGGCGTCATTTCCGGTCGTGAATGACAGCTAGTGTGTTTGATTGGACTCTCCAAAAAGCAGTCAAGTTTTCGCCGACACTTATTTCTATCAATTACTACCGTTAAATAAATGTTGAATGTCAAAAGATTTTCATGTTCTTTGTCAATGTCATTTCAATTATAATTATTTCTTTTCTCATGTTATATTCAACTACAGTACACAGCAACAAAAAAGAACCTAAAGCGTATCTTCGCCTAAAAATTCATCACCGCGACTTATGCCTAACTTAAACTAATGTCCAGAAATATTTTAAGTGCAGTATAGAATTTGAACGCGTGCAACGTAATTACCGAAACAAGGCTATCCAATCAAAATCTCCGAAAATATGAGACAGCTTTCGAGCGACACAGACTATCTAGTGAAAGTAGAAAGATTAGGATTTATTATTTAAATAGGTAATTTTCGTATTTTAAACGGTTCCTCTTTTGTTTGTCATAGTTTTAACTTACTGTTGAAGTTTTTTGTCTTCCACTTACTATTAATTTAAAAACGGTGGCTTAAATTAAAAACGTTAACCCCCCCCCCGAAAATACGGGTCAACGGCATATATCAACGTCTTAAATAATACATTTCTTTAAATTTTCATGTTTGAAATCGCGTTGTATGTCCACCTTACTGTTAGTACTGTCGTTAATATTTTAGCACAGTAAATGCAATTCAAGGGCAAACTACAATGCGATTTCAAACATGTAAATTTAATGAAATGAATCCACGTTGTCGTGCTTTTCAAGAACATGATAATATAGGAAAATATTTGAATTGTCGATAATATCATCTTAATGACTTAATCTCCATTTTACATTAACATACATTGTTGTATGATTCACTGATGCTTACAGATCTTGTCAGTTGCAAGGTTAATAATCTTCCCTATATTACCTCGATTTAGTAACTTATATTCTGCAGCATTAGCGCCGACTAAGTAAATTTCAGATTTTATAGGTCATAAAGCGATGAACCTCGAGAAAATAATGTCATATGCTAGCAAATGAATATGTACTTACTGAAGTAACAGCTATAATATGCAAATGGCATTATGTCTTGAAAAGGCAGTGAGTTATGCGCTGCTAAACTTAAGATACATATGGTATTGTATGCATGTAACTGACAGACACAACAGATCAAGCACACGTGCATGAATATGGAAAAATGAATTTCTTCATCTTAATTGCTCTATTTATATATATAGTGCAATTTTGTCGTACTGAATCATCACATTTTGTATTGTATCTGCGTGTTGCTAAAAAGCTTTTTCGATGCACATACCGCATTAATAACTTTTTTATCTTGAGAAAATATTAGAAATGATAGTTTAACGTCTCAATTCCGACTAAAAGGGTGCAAAGAATAGAGGAATTGATAAAAGATTGACCTTGATTTTCTGTCAGAATGTTAGCCACTTTCATCGTATTTCTGCCATCGACGGCAGCATTTGAAATAAGTATCTGCCTACAACGGCAGCATTTTTTCTTCAACCGGACCAGATTGAACGTCTGTAAAACTTTCAAGAGAAGACTCACGAGGTAGATATTTGGCTTGCGTGACCCCAATGGATGAACGTCTATATTAATAACACGAAATCTTGCCATTTAGTTAAAACTTGAGATATTTTGAACAAAAAAAAAGACATTTTCACGGATTTTTCCGAAGCTGTCACTTTTAACCTGCTTAAAATAGTCTGAAAACAGGAAAAACGAGTCCAAAATTACCTAACAGTATCTCCAGTCAATGGACAATAGTTTCATTGCAATGAAATGGGCCGTATTTGTGTAATATAATGATACCAACCAAATTTATAACCTACCTGTACCGAGCGGTAAATTTCAGCTATCTGCCATCACTGCAGTGATCTGCCATAACTGCCGCCGGTAATACGGTGTGAAGCCAAATCAAGGAGAAAATGACTCCCAGTTCATTTCCTACTTTTAGTGATTCACACCTAGACATTATTTAATGTACAATTGTTATCTTTTTTTTCAATCTCAAATAGCAAAAAACATGATTAAAGTTAATAGTACCGGGACTACCCCTAGGAAGCACATATCCAAGACAATCTTTACTGTGTAGGTCCATCCCTTGTACAAATCAATACAGGTTTTTTGTTATCTCAGTCAAACTGACCTTTTCTACTTTAATGCACAAAACAAACTTGTTTTAATGACAGCTATTTTCAGACAATATGCCTGCTTAATGTAATGGTTAATTGATTTTATAGCAGTGTTATTTACATGTAGAAGACATACATTCATTCAAGTGCAGATTGGATGGGTCAGACATTAACCATATTTTGGGCCATTATTTCAGGACATGTACTTCCTTATTCAGGGCTTCCATTAAGTTTCAAAATTTGGAAGTCAGAGACTGCAAAAGCTCTGGTTTTGGAAGTCAGACTCACATTTTATAGGTAAAGAAGGAAAAGTATTAGATTTTGGAAGTCACAAGCCAAAATCAGGCAGTAAATGACTCCCAAACTTCCATTAGTGGAAGCCCTGTAGGTTAAGAAGGAAAAATATTAGATTTTGGAAGTGGCAAGCCAAATCAAGGAGTAAATGACTCTCAAACTTCCACTAACGGAAGCCCTGCTTATTAATGTCATGGTAAATCATGGTGTCAAACCGTTTATTTATAGCTCAACTTCTTTATTTATTTTAAGTAGAGGTATTGTTATAGTCCTGGTGGCATTGCTGTTGCTGTCCGCAAACTTGTACCTGGATCATAACTTTTTTTATTCCTTGGTGTATTGTTTTCATTGTTGGCCACAACAACCCTTGGGACAATACCTTTCAGTAGACCACATAACCTTGACCTTCATTCATAAATGATCTTGGCCTTCAAGGTCAAAAGTCTAAATTTTGCTTGTTCTTGCTATTATTGGCTGTAACATTGTAACAGTTATTTTTGAATGGATTGTCTACAAACTTGAACATAATAATCTTCAAGGATAGTCCTTAAAAATAACCAGACAGACCATAACCTTCACTCATAAATGACCTTGACTTTGAAGGTCAAATTATTGAATTTTTCATTATTTTTGCTGTAACTGGCTGTAACTTTGCTATTATTGAATGGATTGACTTCATATTATAACAGAGCATTCTTAAGGATGAGACTTTCATGTTTATCAAACTCAATTTGACTTTGGCTCTTTTATGACCTTGAAAGTTAAATTATTGAATTTTCCCTGATTTGTGCATTAAATTGATTTTTTTTTGTAAGACACATGCGGATATGGAAATAATTCATATTTTGACAAAACTAATGTGACAAGACAGATCAATTAAATTTATAAAAAGGAACGTTAAGATTTTTTCAAACATTTCTTTGTTTGCTTTTAGAAAAAGTAATAAGTTGAGTGTTGCCCCCACCCGGCGGTGGCTCTTGTTCATATTTTGGTTAAAAGTACTTAATGTTATAGCTCTAGTACATGTACATGTACAAAGTATACCATTATATTGAAATTATCTTTATATTAATTTTTTTGCTACAAACAACATTTGGAAAATGAAAATTTGTTTCAGACACTGCCACACACACATAATTTTAAGAGGACATTGGACATTTCTTGCAGAAATGATTTAAAATAGTTTAATGATTTAAAACACAGATTTAAAATGTTTTGTCTGACAACTTCCTTGCTTACATGTATGTGTATGTGTATGACAAAAAAGGTCAATTTTGACCATGATTTATTCTTGTTGTTGGGGCACTTTTGAAATACATGATTGTTACATTAACTATATTAATCATGACCCTCAGGTCAAAAATGGCCTTGCCCCGGGAGTCACTTGCCTAATATGTAGACTGAAGTATAGTCAAACACTTCATATCTTTTTGTGGATACATTTAAATACAATTCCAGTATATTTGGCATATAGCATTGCACAGTAGACCTCTTTAAAAGTCTTATGAATTATGCACTTAATGTAAAAAAAATGCCTCCACCTTGGAGGTCCTAATTATAGTATCATAAGATTTATTAAGATAAAACAATTTTCAGACAAGCTTCTTGATTGGGTCTCTACCCTAATTGAAAGACTTAGTTTTAATTACTTTAAGTTTTAATTACTCAAACAAATTTACATTCGGGCATATATTGCCCGCCTCTAGTTTTCTACCTAATCCCTGTTCTTTATTTTTACCAGTATTTTTGAGTATGCCCAATAAAGTTTTAACAAGATCTGTAACTTTTGATAATTATTGTAACAAATTTTTTGTTACTTTCACCATAAAAATCATTACAACAGGCTTTAAACATTTACACTTTATGTTTGAAAAATGCAATCTTTTGTTCACGTCTTGGCAAATCTGTAAAATGAAGGTTATGCAGTGACAAATGGTGAAATCATATTTGCACACTTAGGTTGATTTTAACACCTTTGCTGTTCGTTTTGTACCATGTATCCATCTCCACTGAGTAGGTC